TTCATTGGTTATGAGAGGTGCTTTGAAAAAAGGCAAAGGTATGACCACACACACACTTGACTCCAGAATGAGAGGTGGGGATAAAAAAAAGGAGTGCCTTCTTCATGTGGCCTCAGCTCAACAACAGTGCATAGGGAGCTTCCTGGAACAGCTGCATCCAAGCCTTGCATGACTAAACGCAATGCAAAGCTCGCCGCTGCTGGACTATAGAGCTGTGGAGACATGTCCGCTTCTCTGTCTGTCAATCCAGTGGATGAGTCTGGGTTTGGTGGTTGCCATGAGAACGGTACTTGTCCGACTCCATTGTCCCAAGTGTAAAGTTTGGTGGAGGGGGGGATTATGGTGTGAAAGGAACACCTCAACATGGTATAACACTTTTGGGATGAATTTGAGACTTCGAGAACACACTCCTAAACTTTGTCTGTGAAGGTTCTCAGTCATCCAGGTCATCGTTGTGGAAAGCCTTCACAGGAGATTTGAAGCTGTAATAGCTGCAAAGGGTGGGCCAACATCATATTAAACTCTATGGATTAAGAATGGGACGTTACTTTCACCTTCTGCATCCTTCAGCAGATTTCCAGATGACAACGAGGCACAAAGTAGAGAAATGAAAAGTGAAAAAGAATGAGACACAGGTGGGAACAATCAGAGAAACAGATGGTAGACACAGACAACGAGGCCAAAACACTGAAAGCAAAACACCAAATAACAGAAAGACATCGCAGAAAGAGGAAGGAAATAAAGAATATAGAAACACGAGAATGGATATCAAAACAGGAACTGAAACTACAACATAAAAAAATAAATTTAAAAAAATCCCAGGACGTGACAACGAGAGAAAGCTTCTAAGATCTGTGTACAACACAGTGTGAAAAAGGAAGTGAAAATGGTACATTCTAGACTTGTGTTAATTCTTGTGGCTTGTGGGATGTGCTTGGCAGACACTTCAGACTGTTGTGATAAGCAGGTTACAGTTTCCCACAACTGAGCAACAGCAAGAACAAGCTATTGGTACTTGCAGACAAGTATGCAGCTTAAATGTTACGCAGATTTCTAGACACAAAACAGTAAAGTCCAGTAAGTGATAATGTGAAAATTAGTCAAAAATGATCTCAGATCTGCGCAAATCTAAATCAACATTTCACTTTGAGCAACAAAAACAAAATCAAGCATAGAAAAATAAAAAATAAATATAAGCCAAACATGTAGTTTATATCACAGCTTTATAACTTTTAACCCATTTGGTTCCGATCTACTTTAGTATTTAAAAATAGTTAAACACAGGTAAAAACTGTTGTGGGTGGTGCAAGAGGGTAGAAGAGTTACAGGAGACGTGCACAGGATCCAGGGAAAAGACTTTCCAAACAGGCAAGTAGAATAACACAGAAACTACAGATAAGTAGGCAAGGACTTCCTAAACAGATTCTAGGCAATGTGGTCTGATTGTCACCATATTGATGGGGACAGCCTCACAGAGAACTGTGGCACCACTTGTCCTTGATATACTCACAGCCTGAGTCTGTGGCAAACAGGTGTGTGAAGAGTGACTCACATTGAAGAACTCCGCCCCAGGTTGGAGATTACACAAAGTGCCAGCCCAGCAACTCCGCCTCAGAAATAATTATTAGGGAAGGGTAGAAAAGGGGAGAGAGAAAAGACAAACCAAACCAAACCAATTCTGCTGAACCACATCCATCCATCCATAGATCTGTCTGTCTATCTATCTTCCAACCAACCATTCATCAATATATCCAACCAAACCTCCAATCAACCAATTATCCAATCATCCATCCATTCACATTTCCCTTCCCGAGTAGAAGCTTAGAGGCTAGACTAGACACAACCTCACTAATAACCATCCTTTCTTTGCTCTACTAATGACACGTTTCTATCTTTCAGCTCAATTCTTCTGACAGTTTCGTTGCTTTGGATCCGCCTGATGATGCTTTTTGGATAAATTTGATCTTGGTCCCTCGGAGTGCTGTCTCATTAGAAACTTTCAGTCTGTTTTCCACTATCACAGTGCTGCTGAATAAGCATTGTTCTGCTGGAAGAAGGCTCAGCCAGATCTATAGCAGCTAAACAATGGCTGCAAGCTGATTCAACTGAACAAACCTCTGATGGGCAGATCAAATATCTGAATCCCACTTCACTGGAAAGATACAACTCAGGGAAACCTGACCCCTTAAACAAAGGAGCTAATGTAGTTAGCACTACTAATCTGCTTCAGTTTGAAGCAGATTAGTAGTGCTACAATAGTGCACATCCTTCAATATTCATTCCTTATTTTACATGTCAGGATGTTACTAAATAACTTCCTCAGACTTTCTGGTTACTTCCTTTTCGTGCATTTTCAGACCTCTGAATCTCAATGTGTATTTTCTCTCCTCTTATCATTTTTTTTAAAATCTTTGTTAACATCACTTTCATTTGTGTCTTTTTTTGCATATGCGTTTTGTCGCTTTATTATTTCGTTTCGTCATTTTTGTAAGACTACTTTGTTTCTCTTAGCTGGTTTTTTGGCTCCCCCTTCAGGATAAACCAGTAAAGAGCTTAGAGATGTCACTCTGCGAAAGACACTGATCAGGTGTACCTCGGGTTGGTGAACCTATTGTGTTTCCCTGTGGCTAAAGCTGCTGTCTTTGTCCCCGCTGCTTCCTGTTAATGAATTCAATTTACCTTCACATAAGGAGCTGCTTCTATCACCAAGCTTCTCCCCCTGCTGTGAGAGGAGGAAATGTCCCCCACACACAAAGATTTCAGACAGGCGTCGATAGGAAATGCGTGCACAATTATAAAGCAGGGCTTAGGCACATTTCACGTCTTTGTTAAGTAGTCTGATAAAATACCTAAAAATAATCATCATGTCACTGTGTAGGTCCACGTGTTTGCTTTGTGCTTGGAGGTCTGGACAAGTATTTATCAGATTTAGAAAGATTACACATAATCTGAAGTATGGACTTTGGAGTATAAAAACAAGTATAAACAGATAGATACTTTTATCAAGGGAATTAATCAGGCTCAAGGACTCTGAAATGATCACATTCATGCCACTAGTTGGAAAGCTGCTGCCACAATGGTGGCATCTTATAGGGTTTTATAAAGTCCTTGCAGCTTTTTCAGCAGTATGTAATTCTGCAAAGATATTTATTTGTGTGGAATCTTAGATTGGAATTTTAGCAAATGACAATAATAATAGATTTAGATATGCTGTTCCTGTATCAGACTAGAGGAAATTGGCTGAATGGTAAACACATTCTGAAAAAGTTCCGATGCTGTGTACCATTTAAGAAAAATATTAGCTCATTCTGAGTTTAATGGCAGCATCACATTTCAAAAAAGTTAGAACATGGCCATGTTTACCACTGTGTGGCATCCAGTCTTCTTTTAACAACACTCTGTAAACATCTGGGAACTGAGCTGCTGGACTTTTAAGGGAAAAATAGTCTCAGTCTTGTCTGATAGAGGATTCTAGCAGCTCATTCTACTCTTATACTAAAAAAAACAAGCTGTTGTAATAACTAAAATATGAAATATGCAAGGCCTTCCCTGAGAAAGATGTCATCTGGATGTATGTTGCTCTGAAACCTTTTCAGATGTGCAAGTTGCTAATTGCATGGGCACTAATGCACCTCCATACCATCACAGATGCAGGCTTTTGAACTGAGTGCTGATATCAAGCTGGATGGTCCCTCTCCTCTTTAAGGACGTCAGATTTCAAGTTGTCTAACCCCAGAACAGATTTCCACGTTGCTCATTTTAGATGAGCTTTGGCCCAGAGAGAGTTTCTGGATCATATTCACATATGGCTCCTTCTTTTCATCATAGAGCTTTAACCTGCACTGGATGAACCCTGTTCACAGACAATGACTTTTGGAAGTGTTCCTGAGCCCATCCAATGATTAAATAACTGAATCATGTCTGTTTTTAATGCAGGGCATGGCTTTTGTCCCTCACAGACAGAGATTTCTTTGGATTCTCTGAATATTCAGAAGATAAAAATGTTGATCAATTATTGACAATTAAAAAGTTTCAAAATTGAATTTCCGTAAAAATAAAACATCAGTTTTCCTCCTGGTTGTCCACACCCCACCATCTCTGTCACCTACCAATGAAATCGCAGAACCACCGAATGTTATCATTACTGTCAGACAGAAAACTGAGGCAATCTCGCCTGTTTCCGCACTGCAATCATTCAGCACAATATTTTTTTTTGATAGAGGATTCAGACCCTTTGATAAACAATAAATACTAATAAATAAACAGTAAAAATACTCTATGTATGTATGTAATATAACTACAATCCAGAAAATGATATTAAGTTATTGACGTCAGCATCTGGTTAGACTCCGTGTTTACGGATCATTCAGGTCTTTATTGTCTGGCTTCAAAGATAAATATAACTGGGGATCATAAATGTTTATTGTAAAATTTGTTTCATGATGAAGCAATAAAAATCAGTGTTATCAGGGTTTAATGATTATTACATTTTAAAAATAATTTTTTTTAGAATAGTTAGTCACTGTGATCTCTGATGGGTAAACTTGTATGACCACTGTCTGAACAGCGTATTTAAATCCTGTTTTGGAGGACAGGCAGTGTTTTTTTGTTTTTACTACATTGAAGTGAAAGGACAAGGTGTATCCATAGAACAAAAGGGCTTTATTCCACAATATAAACTTGTAACATCTTCAGCTACTCCAGGTCCTTCCTGCTGTTTCCCGTGACGGGTTACAAGGCGAGGATCTGCCCAGCCAGCAGCCTCTTTTTCCTTTGGCGTGCCGCAGTGTTTCTCCGTAACCCAGACACGTAACCCAGTAGCTTTCTGTACATCACACCATCATCGCTAAAACACAACTCAGCCGAGATCAAAGCCATTTAAGTCGATTCAGACAAAAATTATTGCTCAGATAAATAAAACTATTCTACAAAACAAAAAATGGGAATAATTATATTAAGATGCATGTACTAAACACTGGATTTCAAAGAAAAAAAAAGTCATTTTTTGGGGGGTGAAAACCTCGACTTCTGTCCCCTTAGCTCTGGTTTAACATGCAAGAAAGTTTTAAAGAAGATAATATTAACCCTTGATTAATTCTCTTTACCGGGGGGGAGGGGGGTTCATGGTGTAAGACTCCTTTGCGCCGATGTAACGGGATGCCATGCAGCACACTTCACATCCTGTGTTTTTCTTTTTTTCATTTAGACAACCACAAACAATTCATAAGAAGGAGGAAATATATATAATATATATATGTAAAAATACAAAAAAATAACTAAACATTATAGTTCTGGACAACATGTCAAAGAGGAGATAGCACCGTTGTTACAAAAGGGTTGGACAGACGGGACGAGGGGGTGAAGAGGGGTACGGGGTCAGTGACCCTCCAGACTGAAGACACGCCTCCCTTCAGAATGACATCTTTACTTTCTTACGCGCCCGTCGTTCAGTGTACACGTGACGCAAATGTAGTCTTCCTTCTCGGCCATTTCTGCCGTAACGCCGACGCACACTTGGTGGAACCACTGATTGCAGCTGCCGTCACACTGGACCCAATTCACCTGCAGAAACACACAAGTCAGTCAACATCACAGCTAAACAACAGGTCTACACTTCCAAAAGCTATATGCTCCACAATGTTCATCAACACCACCTGTGTTTTCATGGAGGGCAGCAAAACAATTGACAAGCTCGACCAAACAAGGTACCACCTATGCCATCAATGGAAAAAATCTAATAAAGATTTAGAGTTAGTCTGCAGTCGGATATTCATCGAAAAATTCAGTTAATCCGGAGGAAAGTTTTATTTTGCGTTTATCCTGAAAAAATTCCCCTCCGTCCTGTTTGTGATAGACCTGTCACGCAGATTCAATCAAGGGATCAACAGGAGAATCTAACATATATTTAAAGTTAAATGTGTCCTCCAAGAGATGATGGCTATGTTCTACTTCATGATGTTGCTGTTAATTAGTTTGTTTGTCTTCCAAAATCGGAAATCCTTCAAACTCAAAGTCACGGGAACCGCATAGCTGGAGGGGGAGGATAGTTTCCACCATCATTACACCACCTCCCTGTGTTTTTTATAACTCATCCACCTGGAAACTGGAGTTTGAGGTTTGGCCAGTTTGACTGACAGGTGTCCCGACACAGCTTTAGCTGATCAACCCTCCTCGGGCTCGGCTCTAATTTGAATGCCTGACCTGAATATCTCCGCTGTGGGGGGTGCCTTTTTTTTGTTGATTATCTAACTAATATTAATGCCTGCTGTGAGGTACAGACCCCCTCAGAAGTCTGTGATGTTGTTAAAGGGTCACTTTTGGCTCCAAAAATCTCACCCATAACCCGCCAACACATTTATGTGAAGGCTTTATGTTGATAAAATGAAATATTAGAATGCCATTCACCAGAAACCTACAGCACAGAGTTTTTGCACAGGTTTGTCTGGGAGCGCTGGTGTTTGCTGTTCACGATCAATTCTTTAGATAAAAATAAAGATTACAGCTCGTCTTGTTTTTGAAGCAGCAGTTTCCTGACCGGAGATGAGGTCCTCATATGGAAGACAGTAAAGTAACCTTAGCCTGTTCTCTGCAGACTAAATCCATTTATGTGGCTCCTGTCAGAGGTCTTTCTCACCTCATCTCCCTCTGGCAGCTGACACCTCTCTGCTGGACACACAGCCATTTCCTCATCAGAGTCGTCAGACTGGGAGAAGTTGGAGCGCGGGGAGGACGAGGTCGAGGTTTGCCTGCGCTGCGGATTCTTTTTATTCATCTTTTGTCTCTTGTGACAGTGCTTTTTGTCCTTCGCTCTGCGCTCTCCATCTGAGCTGTCTCTCTCCAGATGCCGCTTCACCTTCTTTTCTGAGCTGCTTGCACCTTTGGCACCATCCTGAAAATAAAATCAGCACGATGAAACTGGCGCTGCAGTGTTCAAGATGGGAATTGGTTCCTTTATTGGTTTGGCTTGTACCTGGTTCAGTGGCAGATTTGTTCCCTGAGAGTTAAACTGCATGTGTTTCTCACAGTCTGTGGGCTCCTCCTGTGGTGGTGACATGCATGGGTTTGTTTGCTGGCTGCTGGCTCTGTCCAATAAGACAAGGTAGAGGCTCTGCACCTCTGGCAAAGACACCTGCAGAAGGAGCCCCTCCACCATCAGCTCTTCCAGGTCCCGACTCAAACCTGCAACATAAACACGCAAAATCTAAAATGTGACAATCTCAAACGACAGAAAAACTGCGAGTCATGTCTTCGTGAAGTGGATCAGGACACTGACCGTGCAGCGGTATGCATCTCTGCTCGGTGTAGAAGACGGTCTGAGCATGGCTTGTCCTATTCCACTCTGGAGTCAAACAAGGAGCCTGTATCAAAGCCATCAAACTCCGATGTTAACACACGCAGGTAGGTGATAATAAAAACAACTCTTTAAGCTTTAAAGACAGGTAAAACTAGGGGCTTAAAGACAGACCGAAAAGTCAAAAATATCACTGCAAACACAGCGGGCTGGAACTGACCTCTACATATGAATCAGATTTGTGTCATTTCTGCAGCTTCTATGACACCTATCATCTTTTTATTATATCTCACAGCACCCTTTAATGGTGCATTTCTCCTCCTTCATTATTTTATTTTATTTTTTTTACACCTGCCAGATGATTTATACTAATATACTAATATATCTCCTTCTGTTAGCTCCTTCTGTTTTGTATGAAATGCTTGGAAAAGCTGTAAAAACCTGATCCTGAACCAAAATCTTAAAATGGTTTTGTAAGGGAACTGGTTTATCGTGTCATGTGGAGAAAATCGAACTCTCTGTTGCACACGTACATTTTCATTTAGCAGAGTTGGGGAGAGAATTACCAATTAACATTGCTTAAAAAGTGGCACAAAGAGATGAGGAGTGACCTGAGTGTTGCTCTGAGGGTTGTCACTGCCTGAAACCCAGCGGGTGAGAGTGGGAGGAGTTCCTGGCCTCTCTTCGAGTTCTGGTAGGTTACATGCCTGTGAAACCTCCTGCGCCCGCTGCTGCCAGTTTACTGTCCTCTCGATCAGATAGTGCAGTGCATCACCCTCCGGGAGGCGCACCCCGACGTGCCGCAGTGATGCCAGCAGAGAGAGGACTTTGCTCAAGGGGGGCTTTTCTGACCGCTGGCACTGCGGACAAAGCCATGGCTGTGTTTTGCAGGGATCTGATGGGTCTCTGACGCACACGCTGTGGAAGGCATCCCTGCAGAGTTCGCACTGTAGCATCGCACCCATGGGCGCCCTCTGACAGAAACACACCCTTAGGTCCATGCAGTCTGCCGTGGGAAGGAGTTTTGACTCATTTGCTGCCCTGAGATTAGAGAAAGCCTCCATCTCCCTCACCCACAGCTCCTCAAGAGTTGCCATCTGTTGAATAAAACATAGACTCAGTATTTTTCCTGATGAATTTCAGCAGTCAGATCTCCACCACAGTGGTTAAGCAAATAATTACTGTGTTATCATCATATTACAGTGAAAGTGTTTGAATAAAAGTTTGTTTTTTTCTTAAATTGACTGTTATCACCCTGTTCAGCATTGTGCCCCATATCAAGTTTGACTGCTCAACACACATCCCAAGGACCCTTCTATATGCAGTTAAGCTTTTCCTGCAACAACCTGAAAAGACAAGACTTTCCTTCTGCTCAAAACTACTTCTCGTCATCAGGATCCGACCACCAAAACGTCAAAATCAGGTAACTCAGCAAACTTTATTCTTTTGAAGCACGTGTGTCTCAGGGAATAGCTCTTTGAATACTTACTGCAGAGGTAGAATCCGTGGTCTCTGAAAGCGCTTTTTCCACATCGCTGAGAGTATTGAACCTCGAAGTTTTCTTTTTGTTACTTTTAGGTGATTCCTTTCCTTTCTTTGCCTTCCTCTTTGGAGAACCGACATTTCCAACTTCACATCGGGGACAAAGAACCTGCAGAGAACAAAAGCCCTGTGAGTCTTCTGGACTAACAGGACCTAAAAAACTCCTATAAACTCCTAAAACTAACAACCTCTGCCTTTGACACAGGGATTTTATCTGCACCAATCCTTAAAATAAAGGAAATTGTGCTCCTGTTCACACTTAACCCTGCATGTTATTATTGTGCCAGACACTGCAACGAAGCCTGAATTTGATGGAAATAAATGATTTTCACGTAGAAATTTGGCAATAGTTTTGGTGACTAATTGTTTTGTCTAATACAGTTTATTGGGTAAGATCCCATAAAAAACATCTTCAAATGTTTTCTTTGTTTCCAGAGAATCCTATACAGTATACATATACAGTATTCAAATTCTTTAAACACAAGCTCAACTCTCTCCACACAAAGAGAAGTAGAAACAGGAAGGATCGGACAAGTCAAACATTTTCTGCTGAGGATGATATTTCAAAATGTCCTAAAAATCCTTTTAAATCTAATTTAATTTTACCTCCAGTAAGGTGAGGCTTGAGTCTTTCTGAAGGAAAGTTGCTGCTGCTGATTCTTTCCATTCCTGCACTTGTGCCATGAGAGACTCCAGCCTGTCTAAAGGCTCCAGGTGGACTTGAATGGCTTGTCCTCGTAGCACCATGTCAGAGAGGGTGTCCACCATCGGGATGCAGGCGCTGACCTGAATCAAGAAGATTATTTTAGTGTAACATACTTTTTTTGCCCCACTGATACCCTGAACCAGCTGACCAGTTATGTTGGCCTCATTTACATTTTACTGGTCCTTAAAAAAACAACTAATAATTTTCATTAAGTTATATACTACTGAATAGCTTAATAGTTATAATGACACAAAGAATTAATTATTCTAAAAAATATTCTGAAGAATTAAAAACTAAAGCCTTAAAATAAAGGAAGTTGTGCTCCTGTTTACACTCAACACTGCATGTTATTATTGTGCCAGACACTGAAAGGCACGGCAAAACATACAATACGTAAGCCAGCACTTTTATTCAGTATACTATATAGTTGCTGTATAAAATAAATCAGCAGAGGATGGGATCAGGCAAAAAGATGCTTTTCTACACCTTTGAGTGTGTTGAACAGGTGGTTTAATACATGAAGTCTTTTTGGACTTTTCCACTCAGAGTTTTTGATTGTAGTTACAGTAATTGTTGACTTTCTTTTCGCCGCACCGCCTCTTTCCTCTCTCTGCGTGTGTGGGTCAGAGTGGAGAGGCTCCAGCCTCAAAATAACTACGACAGCGTCACCTTCACTGCTGCTGTGAAACACGGAGGCTGAATCTAAAAATAGTTTTTACTCACACACCCCTTCACACTTTTTACACCCCAGACGCCTCTATTTTTGGTCACAAATGTGAGTGACACAGTTTCACTGCCTTCCTGCTGTCTTTTATACGCTTCTAAGAACAGCCTCTTTGTTGCAGTAACCTCAGGCACTTCCTTTAAACTGGCAATAGGTTACTAACAAGTTTTCATGACAGGAGAACTCTCAATCGTTATAAACACCATCACAATTGTTTTTAAGTCACACCCTATCAAAATAACATATAATAATATTATATTTTCTAACAGTCCAACCATTCTTAAAATTTCTGCTAACCTGAAGCTCCTCAGCTTCTTGCAGCCACTCTTGGGCTTTTCTGATGGTGTCTTTCAGGAGAAGGCAGTTTGGGAGGTAGGCAGGGATGCTAGATGCCTTCTCAGCAGCAGCACTAAGGGTCTCTATGGAGTGTGGTGGTCTGGTGGGTAGAAAAACACAAATTATGCACTATAGGTTGTAAACATTGGCAAACATTGGCATATTTGCATCAGATCCATGTTATCTATGTTATCAATACCAAGAAATGCCATGACACTTCGTTCACAAGCTTTCTAAATATTTATTTTATCACAAACACTTTCAAAAATGTTCTGTACATACAGGTTTTATTGCATAAAATTGCATAAAACATAAAGCTTATGTTATTTTGAAAACCAAACTTATTTACATTAAATAATATTTTCATTGTCAAACATCTGAAATATTTTTCATACACTATCTCAAATTCTGTGAAAACCCCAAATTCAAAGCTGCAGTGGACTAAACATGATGAGGAAACACAAAACTTTTTTTTTTTAAATGCTGATATTTAAGTCCTGATTGGAGATTAGTTTGCCTGATAATGGTGAGAGTAAATGCGCATTCCTGACAGCCATGCCATTAAAAGCTTCTGAAAAGCACTTATGACAGTTAATACTGGACAGCACTGAGTACCAATGGAATGAGGGCAGAACTAAACATGATGCTCACTTTTTGTTGGTCTTGTTGAATATTCTAGCAGCAGCATTTTGCACTAGCTGTAATTAAAATGAAGCAAAATCAGGAGCACTGACGTAATATTACATTATTCAGTTACAATCAGTGCAAATACCTGGACACAGAGTTAAAGCTAAGAAGCAGAATAACATCTTAGAAATCATCTGGTTTTCTTTTGGATTAAACTCAGAGCATGACAAGCTACCATAATATGTCCTTGTTGCTGTTTTGGAAGCTCCTATCCTGTGGCTATGATGCAAACTTTATCATGGACTAATCGGTGCTGCCCTCACCTGGCTTTAAGAAGACTGCTCGCCTTGTCCTCCCAGTGCTCAGACATAGTGAGCTGCTCTTGAAGTCGTGCCATGGCTTTCTCCACTGACGGATGAGGTGCTAATCCGACTCCCTGGTCGATGAGCCTCCTCATGGTCTCCAGAGTCAGGGTAGCAGGCTGAGCGCTGGCCTGTTGCACCCCCTCCAGCCATCGTGCTTGCTCCAGCCTCACTCTCAGGCGGGGCAGCTCTGGCAGGTCCACGTCGAAGTCGAAGCTGACGTCCAAAAGGCTCTGGATCTCAGCAACACTGGGAAGTTCATCTGCCAGGACCTTCTCGCTGTGCTGCTGGAAGTCTTCAATGCGATTTAAGAGTTCCTGAAGATGGAAAATACAAGAAGTTGAAAAATGTCTTCAAATCAGATCAAGTAGTGCATTTTTATTTATTTAACAGGGAAAGTGCATGTTAATGGACATCGACGTAAAAAATAAGACGTAAACGTGTAAGATTGTAAGAAAACCACTAATTTACATCTGTAGTCCTCAAGCAGGTCACATCAAACTATGCAATACAGAAAAGACATGTAACGCAAAACACATAAAAACACACAAATAAAAACAATACATCACATAAAGTTCAGATAAAACTGATCACAGATCTAACGTGTTACGCAGAGGTCTACTTTATTGCCATTAGTAAGCTATTCCAACATTTACCTCCCTTCATTGACACCACACTTTGTGGTTCACCTGTGAGGCATAAAACTGTCTCATTTAGCAGTGGCCTTAGTGCCAATCACACTGCCATATTTTTAAATACAAGGAACGCAGGACAGAAACTGCACAAATAACAAAAGCTGCACAATGTGACTTAAAATTAAGGAAATAAAATTTTACTTTGGTAAAAGCTAATTTCTTCTCCTCAGTTTACCTTTAACAGGGGCGCCTGAGGGAGACTGCAGGAGAGGTTATACAGCTGCCGCACAAATGAACTCAGCTCCTCCACAGTCAGCTGGCTCCGTGACTTCCCACTTCCACACCGATACCTGTGTCGATGAGTGAAGAAATCACCCTCATTAAGGCGCTATTACTATTCAACAAGAAGAATGTGTGAGAAGAAGTAATGCATAAGCCTGGGTGACATCGCATATTAATGTTACCTGGTCTGCTTCTTGCCATTCAACAGCTGCTGTGCCACAGACGCGCACTTCTCAGCATCTTGTGTGACCAAACGAAGCCGACGCAGCAGGTCGTTGTCAGGGAACAGCTTGGAGTCTGACTCAGCAAGGAGGGTGCGAAAGACTGGCAGGCCTGAGGAGACAAGAGCAGCTTAATCATAGTCTAACACATTTGCAGCTTAAATAACCCAACATGTTGCTGAGCAACTGATGACAACCTCTTTTTTATTGTTTTTGCTGAACATGCCACTAGCACTGCAAAGAGTAATAAATACTTTTATCTTATAACTTAAACCACTATTGACTTAATTGAGTCTTAGGTTAATTGCTTCCAGGAGCTCTTCGAGGAATTACTTTGCTGACAGTGACAATGGAGCGGAGTCATTGGTAGAAGGGTTTTAGGATTTCATTTCTTTATTGACTTTATTTAGAATCACTTAGTCAAACAGCTAATTATGATTATCGAGTGTGATTCTAATATCTTCTAATCTAATATCAAAAACAGGAACAAAACTCGGGGTGCTTCTTTTTGTGTGTTATGTTATACTGGCCCTTTAAGGCTGGGTCTGGACTGCGATGAAGCACTCACCATGTAACAGTGATATGTGCTTTGTGTAGCATGAATGACTGTTTAAAAGGTTGGGGCAAGATAGAACGGGAACTCAGCAAAGAGGAAGAAAGGTGAACAAAAGCACCATGAAAGGCAAAAACAAAGGTGGCAGTGACGCATTTTCATTGTTTTTAGCATATTGACTCACTTCATCATATACAAGTTCTTTGCCTGTTGTGACTTTTGTGTTCTCTGTCCCAGGGGTTTAACTGAAGGACTTATAGCAGCGCAAACAAGCTGCCCCAGAATGAAAGTAAATACCTCTAACACCTGATCCTAGGTCTGCAAACCACTATATGCACAGGGGATGCCACTATAGCTCACCTGGTTGAGCTGTAACACATGTATTGTGTCTTTACTGTGTTGGGTTGTTTTCAGTGTGTCACCCCCCCCCTCCCCCCCTCACTGTCTTCCCACTACTGTGTACTCTATACTGGACCATCCAATAAAGGCCAAAAACATTCTGAATGCACAGACACTCACACAAGAAAATGCTGACCTTGACTCTGAGCTCGAAACACATTATTTCTAATTGCAGTGCAGCTGCAGAGCAACTTAATATTAGAGCAATATATGCTGTGATGACTCCCCACTTGGCAAATAGAAAGGGGGCTGTCAACGTCCAACATCATTCATTCAAGCTGTCTCGCCCAGTGTGTGTTTTAACAGTGTGTGCAAACACAGCTTTTTTTAGCCAAAATGCAAACGCAGTGGCACACGTTTGTTTTGAGCTTTCTGAAACCAGAAGTGAGCACATTTGGATGAGCAACTGTACGACTGCAATGCACAAACTCAGATATCTTCTAATTTGTACTAAGTAACAGACTAATAAAGTAGTCGGACAAATTTCTATTTACCTGATTAAAATGCTTCAAAAGACACAAACGGCAGTTTTGTTCAGTGACTCCATTTAGCACAGGTGAACTCTGACTTCAGTTGGCTACAGCTGCCTGTTACACCTACTCAAAACTTCATCTACCAGCAGTTTTTAATCGCTGGAGAATCCCAAACAGACAATCCCAAACAATTTCCAAACAATTATTTTTTATAAAAAGCTGTAAACATTTATTTTAATTTTTAAGTCTTTTCATTGGTCATTTTAATGTGGGAGTTTTGGGGGATTGGGGGCAGTTTTGGCTCTTATGCACTGGCTTCTTTTTTCAGCCCTGCAGGTTACCACTTTGATTTGCTACATGTTTCTCCTATTAAAGCGTCTTAATTAAGATAACGAGAAAAAGCTGTAGAGCTCTCATTTGCAAGTTTTGTAAACTATTTTTGCTCCGCTGTCTATAGCTCCCAGGAACAGTGTGACAGCCTCTTCAGTAAACGAAATTTAATTAAACTAGTGGCACTTTTAAAAATAAACGTCAGACAGTTAACACCATGCTGAGGAGTCTAAACAGGAGGTCGATTACACTTCCTACAGAGAGACACTTTTCCCAGTTTGAGCCTAAAATACATGGAGAGGAGGGATGTTGAGGCAGGCAGATGAAGAGGGGATCCTGCTGCTGTGCCATAATAAACAAGAACACCAAACTCACAGTACGCAGACTGCAGCTGCTGGTGGACGCGTCACACATGACAAACTGTGCAGTTTGTCAAGTGTACAACAGCTGTATTAATTTGATGAGTAGGAAATTTTGGATCTGAAACTGAGGTAGTCAATAAGGTTTGGATACATGTTTGAGTAAAATGAATGGATTTTTCACATCTACTCAGGAAAGCTGACAATCTTCTACTTACAAGGTTTTCATCAGTGCTCTACTTTCTGAGATAAAAGACGAGCAAAATTATATTACTGATTGTTTACAGATATATGTCTTTGGCAGGCAAAGCAATCCTTTTTAATACGAGTCTTAAACATGCATCCATCAACTTTTTTACATTCTTTGCTGGCTTGTTTTCAGCTCGGCACCTGCCCTGTTTTGGTGTAGATGTGTATTTTTCTACTTTTGCAAAACATAGTAGCTACAGAATAAATGAAACCGTCTGCATTTACATGGGCTGTCCATAAACTTCACTTTAACTGTGCCATCGTCTCTTCCAGCAGGTATGAAATCTCCTTGGCAAATGATGACTTGTTTGCTAAACTGAAGATAGTGCTTTTGTTTTGGGTTGTAATGATCCATAGCTGTGCCCAGATAACTGAAACGGTTGATGCTAGAACAACCACATTAAATGTGGAAATGGAAAAAGAAAAAGGAGGAGGATGGTAGAGGTGGCTAAAAAGATGATAGAAAGCGAGATTCAGATGCTATAATTACTGCTTACTCAGTCGAGTATAAGCTAATGTTTTAAAATGGAAAGTAGTGCAGTCTTTATTACAGCACCATGGAAGGAGGTTGTCTACCGCAACTTCAAAACATTGGTTTTAAATTTGAATATAGTTTCATTTTCTGAAATAAGGTGCAAGGAAACGCTGGTTATTTTACTTAAACACGTGAAACCATCTGTTTGGTCCTTTGCTGCTTACCTTTCTTTTTTTCAAGTTTGGCCTCTAGAGTCTCTGTTACACGGGAGGCCCATTCATCATACAGCTCAGATCGCTGCTTCACAGAATTCATCATCAAAACCAGGTCGTCCAGTGTGTATCTGTAACTGTAGCAGCAAAGCAAAACGATTGATTTTTTAATAAGATGCACAAATCAGAAGAACCACAGTTTTCTGTAGTTTAATACTAAAAAATAATCAGTGGGACTTACTTCACTGTGTAGTTGGTGATGGGGCAGGAGCAGAGGTTGTTGATGTGGTACAGACAGACCAATACTCCGGGGGTACAGGGACAGGTGATGGCAGACAGGTAGCAGGTGGTCTTACACTTGAAACATTGTCGCTCGTCATCCTGGAGGTGATCGTACTTTGCCTCCTGGTGGTGCATTGCTCCCTGAAGGCGTGAGATACCAACAAATGCATTAGGTGATACAGTGTGTGTTTAAACACAACACCTCTTTGCACTTTTTTTTAAACATGTATGCTACTTTCACTGCTGGCCAATAAAGCTTAGTGGCACATTTTTACACATTTCTGCGAGGCCAAAACAAAAAAGCAATTTTAAACTAGTTATATAAAAAATAAACCTGTATTTATTTAGTAAAAAATAGTCTACACACTATGCAACTCTGTCATTATGTCTACACGAGATGTTGAAAGATGCTGTACCATTTTCTTCACTTTCTCTCTCAGCTCCTCCTCTTCTCGGATCATGGCGACCATGTCCTTGTGCACGGCTGAGGCCAGAACCACGCTGAGTGTATCTGCTTTTGTGGCCATGTTGCACACCATCTCATCATGCGAAAACACGTTGTACCGATGCAGCATGCGGTAGTGGTCGACACACTGCCTGCCAAGAGGCATCTGGTAGAAGAGAAAGGAGCAAAAGAAAGTTAAGTGTGTAATTGGTGATGGAGCAATAGCAGAAAAGAAATTAGTCAGCAGTAGTTTTGAGTAAGTGTGTAAAGAAGAACAAAAAAAATGTCAGCCTAATGTAAATATTTTCAGCTTTTCTTACTCTCCTTTGATACTAAAATGAATTTATTTCAACTTGTGGCTACTTTACAAAAGAAAACTAATTTTAAAAAAGCAACATGATCTTTTTTGGGTGAACAGATATAATATAATTTACTTTTAATATAAACTGCTGCTTCACATTTCTCTCCAGTTCATAGTAACAGTCTTTGCATAACACTATGAAAATACTGGAGGTACTCTAAATACTGATGCATGACCCGATAAAGCAGCTTAAGCTTTATTTATAGTCCTGCACTGAATCCCAAAGAGCCTGTGGCATAGGCTGTTGTTGGTATTTGTGTCTGCTTTTCTCTGCCCTCAGCATGATTATTTTTCTACCTGCTTCATGGGAAAATTTCTCACAGACACTTTAACTAAAGCTACTAAAAGTCTTCTCTGCACATTGCGCTGGTGTTCGTGGACTCTACAGCTGTCACTGGTGCTTCATTCTTTCTTGCGGTTGTCTTTCTTTCTCCTGCATGCTATCATGCCACACAGCCTTCTAGATAGTCTACATAACTCACTTCACTGAGAGGAAATCCCACAATATGTGATCCTTCTGCACCTATTGCTAACAGGTGCCATTGAATACCATCATGAAGGATTCTACTGAGTTTGTTTGAATTTAGAAACACACCAGTGCTCCTAGTACCATTTTACAGTTTCACCATCGGTGTTTTAACCTGTTAAAGGGATGGGCAGCTTTCAGTTTTCACATATTCAGTTAACATGACCTCTGTTTTTATAGGACATAAAGCAGTTGTTTTAACAGTAGTTAAAAATGTGTGTTGCTGTGATGCGTAAATACTTTTCTGGGAAGCTGCAGATCAGGTAAAGTGTAGATTTTATACAGAACTATAAATCAAGCTGTAAAGCAGTACCACTAAAATAAGCTGGCATTTTTTTGTACTCTATCAATGAAAATCTTTCATACTAAAAATAAAAAAATTACCTTGTTATTCATTCACATCTTCTACTTTCATATAAAATTATATTAGAAAGTGTTTTAAATACTTTTTCCAAACAAAAAAGAGATGTTGTTTAGAACAGCGAAAGTAAAGGGATTAAATACCCAGTCCACTGTGCAGAAGTTGACCGCCTCAGCGAAGTTGAAGCCCTGATTGAAGCCACTGTGATAAGCTCTAGGAAATGTGATGACAAACTCACCAGCACACTGGTTTGTTCTGTAAATCTGAAGCAAAGTGGAGAGCAGAGAAGATGCTGTGAGAAATAGTTTTATCTGTATATCCACTTCATAACAGACACTGACAAATTCAACCAACATAACAAAATACTACATATACAGATGTAGACTACACAGGATGTGAAAAAGACTACGAACTGGGACTCCGTAGTCCATCAGGGTGTTGGGGTTCATGATGGTGACCAGCTGGTGGAGCAGGTCAGGTTGAGACTCAAAAAGCTCTGGGGCCAGTTTCTTCATAACGTCCTCCAGCTGCTCGGCAGCAAAACCAGGAGCACCATACCAGGTTTTGGGTTCCCCCCTTGAAATGAATAAAATAGAAAAAGCTTCACTCCTGCTGGCCAAAAGTGAGGTGCAAATAAAATGTATTTGATTTTAGGAGCTCAAGCAATAATAAACCTATACAAGAAACTTTTTTTGTATACCAGTGCAGGTAATTGATGGAGTAGCTCCAGTGATCCTCGATGTGCCAGCAGAAAGAGGAGAAGCACATGCCAACATAAAGCCACGGCAGCGTCATCCCACAGATGTCAGCTGTTACATGAGTCAGTACAGATGGGTTCATCATCGCCAGGTTGTTGAGGTTCCAGCCACATTTGAGGTATTTCTGCGTGGGGAACGGCATACCCAGGTCAATAGCAGGAATTACAGTGGAATGCTTGTACCTCTTAGTTTACAAAACATGATTCCACAGATATATGCAAGGTTTTATATGGCTTATTTAGACATTTACCTCATCTGCTGGAGAAACCTTAAATTTTCCATTTGGAATAGGGAATCCACTCCCAAACTCCTTCGAGGCGATATCTGCTCCATACTCTACAGTAACGTCCTCATCGATGGCTCCAACCAAACGCCAAAACTCTTTCTCTACCAGCTCTGTGGGCACCATCTGTAACAAAGAAGTGAGAGGTAATTGAATTTAAAATACTCAAACTGACATAGAGCAGTATGTTTATGTTTGGACCTTATCTACTTACATGAACTGGCATGTTGAAGTAATCAGATTTAAAGGCATCTGCCATTTGGCCAAATGCACGCAGGGAGTAGTCTCTGTATGCCTGTTCAAACCCGAACGCCTCATGAGGCTTGTTGCATTCCTGTGGGCGAATTTAAAAAAGCCTTTCAAAGATATTGACAAGGTTAGCTTTTGTGTGTGTGGTTTTTAATTTATGGAATTATGATGCCAAAAACCTATTCTATAACTACATAATTAAAAATCTGATGTAAAAATCTGAGAATTCTGAATCTGTGGGAGAATGGATGAACTTCCAGGAGGAAAAAAAACAATCTTGGAGAAAAAGTGAGCAAACCTTTTAAAGCATTTTTTTAAAGCAGTTCTCTTTCAAACCTCACTCGGTATCTCACTATTGAAAGTGGCCTCTGGCATGACCAATCAAGCAAGCTCCACTATTACCATGTCTGTCCAAAAACGACTAATTACGTCAACAACACAGGGTCCCCGAAACCCTTAGATCAATAGTGTTGGAGCCTGAACATAGAAGCCTCTGTCTCCTAGAGTCTGCAGTCTAGAGAGCCAAATTGGCAGCTTCAAAGACTCAGAACTTTCAGCAACAGTAGAGGAAAGTGAAAGCTGCAGATGAGCAATGGGGCACAGGTGGAAGCATCCCCACTTGGTTTCAGATTTGATATTTCACTCAGTGGTAAAGGGATTCAAGCGTGGCACTCAGGTTGCAGACTGCTATAATGCCAACACCTGAGGAGATCGATCTCCAACCTTCAGCGCATACACATCTTAAAAGCCATTTCCAACTGGATTGGGTGTTTTATTATTTTAATTTTCCTCTTGCTTTGACATTTTGACAAACTTCACACTACACTTACAACTTACACCTGGAGAGATGATGCGACCATGAACAGTCTAGGCCAGATTTTAACAGCCATTAACTTCAAAGGCAACAAAACATTGGAGTAACTGCAATTTAGAGGTTTTTTCACCTGTATGTTATCACTGAAACTCACTTACTATGTACACTGCTGCAGCTGTTATATATCTAAAACTCAAACTAAACACCATTTTATATCAGTGAAGCAGCAGGTTATATGAGTCAGGCCCCAGCAGAGCATCCTGCCTGAGGTCTCCTCTGAGTATCAGATGCTTAATGGTGTAAGCAGTGTTTCAAAATTGGATCACAAAGAATTAAAAATATTTTTTCTATTTCTTTGGCACCCCTCTGGTGGCCTGTGGTAAAAGCCAGCCCTGCCTCCTAAAGGTGTGACGTTCACACATGATTTCTTTTTCTGATTTCCACCCAGAAGACTGTTCAGTTCCTCTGATTTGGCATTAAAAATACATGGGTGTATTTAGAAGGTCCATACTAAAGTAAAGAGTGGCAAAGAGAAGTGAAATCAAATTATTCTGATCTTTGCAGGTAGCAAAAGTCTGCCAGACATTAGAGCTGGCTTCTGGCAGGAGAACCTTTAAAACCGACCCTGGGAATACACTGGCTGCACCGGAGTCGTGTTCTTTTTGCGATTTGGCTATGGGAGCTGTTTGAGCCCACTCACTCCTTACATTGCTTAAACTAAGAGAAGTTATACAACTTTTTTGAGCTGTTAATTCTGCTAAACATGCCAGTAAAAGCCCAAAACAAAATACAGATGTAGAACTACGCATTTTAGTTCCCTTTTAATG